TTCTTAGGCTGCCAAACCCTCAATCCTGACCCATTACAGGCTCGTGCGGATCAAATTCAATTCGAGAGGATACATTCTCTTATGTCCATGCGGAGAAAAAATTTATCTCGTATAGATATAAGGTATATGAACCCCAAAAGTTACTTGCTAAAACCCATGCGGAGAAACAAATTATCTCACGTATGCTAAGTTTTTACCTCAACTTAAAGGGACAAAGCTCGTAAGTGAGCTTATGTTATGTAAATGTACGTGTTGTGTGTGAGGAGAAACTCACAAACCTTTAAAAACAAGACAGAAGGCAAAATTTTCACAAGCTCAAAGCCTGTCCAAGTCTGAAGACCAATAAAATAAAAAACCAATTAGTATAAAAATAATGCATGGTATGCTGAAACACAAAATAAATAAAAGGATCGTAAATTAAATACAATTTAAATTTTTAATTCCCAAATATAAAAACTATGTATAATCGTTTATGGCCTTACTCTCTAGGTCCCCAACGGAGTCTCCAAGTTGTCATAACGTCCCCCTCGGGGATCTGTTCGACTTGAAAAAATTAGTTTCGGGGGAAAGGTGATGAAATATAATTTTGAAAATAATTTGATTTTGGAGTCGCCACCAACCTTTAAGTTAGGTTGGTCGGAAGCCTAAAAAATGGTTTGTGTTTTACCAAAAATTCATTTTTAAAAGTTCGGGAGTCGATTACGTATGGGGAAGGGTGAGCACCCCCACAACGCCCAAAATTTGGTATCTAAATGATTATATGTTGTTTAAAGATTGGGAATTACAAACTTGAAAACATATTTAAATTACGATCCTTCTATTTATTCAAATTTATTTAAAAAGTGTAATTTTAAAAACAACTAAAATAATAAATGCAACAAGTCAAAAGATTAAAAAGACCAAAATATATCTTTATAGAATAAGATTATTTATTATTAAAAAATTATAATTATTTTTATAAGAGAAAATATATCATTTTGTACGAACAATCCTTGAAAATGCACTTTCTTTATAGTTAGGAGATTTTTTCATGGATTCTCCTCACAAAATAGTGTTTCTTTAATTTTATAGTTTTAAAAAATTTATATATAATATTATATTAAATTCTAGAAATGTTAGGCTAAAGAATGCCTTTTTGTGTGAACAATCATCGAGAATGCAACTTCATTTGTAGTTAGGAGACTTTCCCATAGATTCCCCTCACAAAAAGAAATTATTTCATATTTTCCACAAATTAAAATAAACTCAAATAAAAAAATAAAAAAGAAAAGAGGTGACAAATAATCAAAATAAATAAACGTAAAGCGAAAAAACTATTGAATACAAAAAACATTTGTGTGAAAAATCCTCGAAAAGATACATTCCCTTGTAGTTGGGAGATATCTTCGTAGATTTCCCTCACAATAAAATTTTCTCTTTTCGTATATAAAAAAACATGGTGATTAAAAAGCAAGGTGGAATTAATAATACTAATGTGTACATAAATAAGGGACCAACATGCAAAAACAACAAATTTGGAGATATAATAATAATACCACAACAAATCATGTCTAATATACAAATATCACATAATATGATTATTAAAACAGAATACAATTAAATTACAGACCCTTGTTATGTAATAATTTCAGTACCAAAACTTAACATAGTCAAAGCATAAGGGATTAAATCGAAAATAACATCAAAGTCATCTAAAAGTTAAAATTAGTGACCAAAACAAAAGATTTACATATTTTAAGACCATATTCAAACAGTCACATAAAATGGTATAATCTATGAGATCAGTGACTAAAATGAACTAGCAAGAAAAGTATTCCACATAAGTATAAATAAACTAAAGTACAATGATATAGGCTCAAATATAAACACTTTAAAGGCAATAAAGGACTAAATTACAACAAACATTAAATAAGAGCTCAAAATAAAAGGGAAAAATTCATTGATAACCATAACACAACATTACAAATATGGAGGGACCTAAACTGTAATTACACCATTTTTTTGAAACGTGCGGTCTCTCCTTTTGGCAAAACGATGTCGTGCCATAGATAGTATATAACCACCTTATTAGGGCCTAAGAACCCTAATCTCTCATTTCCTTCTCTCGATCGAAAAAAACAAAATGAGAGCCCAAACCCATGAGCAGTTGCCAACCCATGGCGTTTTCACATCCGTGTTTGGTGGTCGATGCTTAAAATTCCATCCACAGACCACTCTTTTGCTCTCCAAAATCCAAATACAATATCTCAGCCTAAAACCAAACCCTAGAAGATAAGGGGTTACCTTTGTTGCCTAAAATGGGTTTTTTCCGGCTTCAGTGAACGAATCAATGTTTCCCAAAGGTGAGTTCTTTTCGTTTTCGTTTCTGTTTTTGGTTTTATAGATTTAACATTTTCTTTTTTTCTAGTTCAATTTTCTCTCATTTTTTCTCTCTTTCTCCGAATGAATAATCATTCTCTGGTTGCTGGTATCTTATCCCTTTGCTGTGAGATGATTACATCTAATCCTAGGGTATGATTTCTCTGATATGGGTTGTTGAAAATCCCAATTTTTTCAGGATTTATTATTTTTTAAAAGGGTTTTCTCATTTGGTGACTTGGGTACTGTTATTGACTGATTTGTTCACTGTATGGCCTCTGTTGATGACGTCGGTGACTCGAGAGTGTTTGGTAGCGGCTTACGCGCAAGACGAGAGGAGCGGTGAAGCTCACGCGCCGGTTGGAAGTTGGAAGGCCAAAAGACGGCGGCTGGATAACTTATCCTTTGATTAAGGTTTTGAACCCTAATTTGAACGGGTCAGATTTGGGTCGGGTTGAGTGTTGGGCATGGAACCGAGTTTGATCCTAGTGTTAATGGGTCATCCGAATTTAGGATTGTAATGTAATATGGGTTTTGTTGTAGTGGGCTTGGGGATTGGGCTTGCAACATATATAAGATGTAAATTAAAAATAATAATAAAAATAAAAATAAATAAAAGAAGACCCGGACAAAAACGGGTGTTTACACATCTTTTTTCTTGATTCATCACCTCGTCGGGATCCCATGCAGGTGGCAAACTACTGTCGTGATCATATCCAAAGAGCGTTAAAAACGATTCATGGGAAAAGCAAAATGGGAGAAGACATTTACTAGTTGGTTTTTTAAAGGTTGATGACCAGATTGGACGAGAAGTTCGTAGAGGCAATGAAGATCAAGTTTTCGAGATTGAACGAAAAATTTTATATCAGAAAAAACCAATTTATAGAAAATTCAAAAATAATTAATTTATAAAATTTTAAGAGATAAAAGATAGATTTTCAATAAAAAAATAATTTTTTTGGAAGGAACACGCCGTGAGGTGGGTGACGGTGAATTTTGGCTTTGCACCATGTCAAAATTCCCTGCATAAATTCTACGGCTGTTCATGAACGTTTTAAAATTCATACTTCATATTATGGAAAGTGTAGCATTTAACATAAATTTGTATCCGTGTAAGTAAATAAAAAAATCTAACACTTAACACTTTACATCAGTGTAAGTATGTAATCTCTCAAAAAATATAGCACTTAACACATACTTATACCGATGTAAGTATGTACGTCTCTTAATATAATTATAAATTTAATTTATTAATGGTTAACCGTTATTTAACAATTTATCAAGATTTGTAACCGTAACCTTAATCATTAACCATCATTTTTCGCGGTTAAGTTAACCGAAACCGTTTAACATTAATGATTTAATTAATTAACTTGTTAAATGTAACGATTATACCGATTAACAGTTACATTATGTATTTTTTAACACCCCTAGTTCAGTTAACCGAAACCGTTTAACATTAATGATTTAATTAATTAACTTGTTAAATGTAACGATTATACCAATTAACAGTTACATTATGTATTTTTTAACACCCCTAGTTCAATCTATGCTATCCAAACCAAAAATTGAAAAAAGAAACTATATTTTTCTTCTTCTTCATTTTCTCCACCATTAAAATACTTTAAAAGCGTGAGAAGTCTAATTTTTGTTGACCATTTCTCACCATGAAGAATAAAAGTTTGTAACATCTTTGATTCGACTTACTAATAAATTAGGTTAAAAATATTATGTCAATCGATGAGAGATATAATTTATTTGATTCGAAATTAAAATCGAGTAAATAATTTTTATTTTATTTCTATTTTTTATTTGATTTGATTATATTTTTTATAATTATCATTGTTTCTTTCTTAAATTTTGATATTTTATCTAACATCAGCAATGTTGTTTATCTCGTGAAAGAAGATGAAGGGAAATGATAAAAATAATAATGAATTTTTCAATTAAAAAATTCATCAAATAAATCATCATTTTTTTAATTTATATAATCATATAATATACCTACGTGTCTTATAATATCTAATATCTTTAACACATTCTTTTGAAATATATTCCCACTAAACTCCATTTTCTCTTATTTTAGGCTTAATTTCCATGTAAAACCACTATTTTCTTTAACTTTTCATTTTAGTTCTCAATTTCTGATTTAACTCGTTTTATTAAAAAAAATTGTTGTGAGCATGCTTTTTTTATAACTAATGACATCTCATCTATTGATCAACTAATTTAGATTGGGTACTGTAGGGTTAAAGGTGATGCTCTCAACCCAATTTGATCCTTTTGCGAATATCGGGATTCGAACCCTTGATCTTACTTAAATGATCTAGTGTCTCAACCTACTAAACCAATTGATTGTGAGTTTAAAGATATAAAAAATAAATACAATTATAATAATTTTAATTGTAATTCATTATTTATAATAATTAATTTTGATTGTGATTATTATTCAAGCTAAATAAAAACGAAAGGAGAAAGGTTGAAACCGTAAATTCGGAGTGGGCACTTTAGTAAAATCGTGGTTTTGTGAAGAAGTGTTGGTTACGCCGCGTGTTTCTGTCGCATCGTAAACGTTCAACTCCCCACTTCCAGATTTGCATAGGCCTAAACAGTATATATGAAAAAGACAGCCCAAACGTGACTTCGATTCATTTACAGAAACTCCTCGGCCTCTCCTCACCTAACCCAACTGCCCTTTCTCTTGTAATAATCGAACTTCCCTTTCCGTCTCTTTCGTCGTCGTCGTCGTCGCCGCCGCACCGCCATGGCTTGTGTTAGCTTCGCTAAGCTCAACGTGCCGTCGTCCACTTGGATTGGAGGCCAGCAGTCTCCCTCTCTGCGATCCGTCTCGTCAACACGGCTCGCCACTCGCAGAGTCTCACTCCCGATCCGTGCCGGCGCTTACACCGACGAACTCATCAAAACCGCCGTTAGTGTTTTTATTAATCTATGTTTTGCTTTCCTTTTCAATTCTTCAAAGATTTCATGTGACGTTTAATTAGATTTGATTTTGGGCTAAAGATAGATCGATTTACATGAAACGAATGAGATCAACTTATATACAATTAGTTTTTTTCTTTAATCTGAAAATCGGAATTTAGTTTTTACTTGTAAATTGATTGCCGTTTGACATTATAGGATTTGATTTTTTCATTGATGCTTGATGGAGACATGGATTTGAATAACCGGCTGCAACATAAATGTTATTATTTTACCTAGATTAATCATACTAATATTTGTTACATTTGCAACTGCAATAAAGGCCGTTGACCGATTGGTGATTTTAATTAAAATTCATGAACGGAGAACTATGTGATAAATTTAGTGAGCTGGCCAGCTTGGTGGAGAATACTGATATTTTTGTTATTTGTTTATATCGTGTAGAAAACTATTGCATCACCTGGCCGTGGAATCCTGGCGATCGACGAATCGAATGCAACATGTGGAAAGAGATTATCTTCTATTGCCTTAGACAATACTGAACCCAACCGCCAGGCTTACAGACAGCTTCTGCTCACAACTCCTGGCCTTGGAGAATATATTTCTGGTGCCATTCTTTTTGAAGAAACACTTTACCAGTCAACAGCAGATGGGAAGAAGTTTGTGGATGTCTTGCATGAACAAAAAATTGTGCCCGGCATCAAAGTAGATAAGGTAACACTGCTGAATTCCCACATGCAGCGCCTTGAGAATTCTTGCTGGTGGTGCTCGTTAATTCAATCTTTTACATTACCGTGTTTTAGGGTTTGGTTCCTCTACCTGGATCAAACAACGAATCTTGGTGTCAAGGCTTGGATGGATTGTCATCAAGGTCGGCTGAGTACTACAAACAAGGTGCTCGGTTTGCCAAGTGGTAAGTCTATTTTACCTAGTTAACTTGTGCCTTGTAAAGTTCAAATGAAAGTTCTGGTTGGTTTATATATACGTAGATATATATACACACGTGTATTCATATATTTACTCATACACACGTATTGTTATTCTCATTCATGAAATGGGGTATTATTGAAATACTCAGGAGAACAGTCGTTAGCATTCCTTGTGGTCCTTCTGCTGTAGCTGTTAAGGAAGCTGCCTGGGGACTTGCCCGTTATGCTGCCATTTCTCAGGTATTGTCAATTTATATCAGTTTCTTAGAACTCCCTAAAAAAATGCAATGCTTATTGTTTCTCCACTCAAAATGGAAGTAATTGGAATTCTGTGATTGGAAATTAGATAATTTCCAACTGTCTTCTTTATGTTCGCTTGGGTAGCTTAATTGGTACTTGTTCTTATTTTATGTTTTAGGTGATTTTTATATTGAGCTCAATTGTATGTTAATGTGAATTAATTATCCAGGACAATGGACTTGTGCCAATCGTGGAACCCGAGATTCTTCTTGATGGTGACCACCCTATTGAAAGGACCCTTGAAGTAGCTGAGAAAGTCTGGGCAGAAGTATTTTACTACCTGGCTGAGAACAATGTTATATTTGAAGGCATCTTACTCAAGCCCAGCATGGTAACCCCGGGAGCTGAACACAAAGAGAAGGCTTCTCCCGAGACTATTGCAAAATATACACTCACTATGCTGAAGAGAAGAGTTCCACCAGCCGTTCCGGGAATCATGGTACCTAAAAATGCGTGTTCACATCAACACCTTTAGTTTTAGAAGTTTCATCGTGCAAGCTCTTACATCTTGATTCTTAAAGCATGTTTTATCTATTCCTCTGTTTAGTGATATACACCTTTGATCTATTTGGAGAAGCTGTGATTAATGAAAAGGTTTATGCATTTGTTTATGTTGCAGTTTTTGTCTGGAGGACAGTCTGAGGTGGAAGCCACCTTGAACTTGCATGCAATGAACCAAAGCCCGAACCCGTGGCACGTTTCATTCTCATATGCTCGTGCATTGCAGAACACCGTGCTTAAGATATGGGAGGGACGTCCTGAGAACGTCGAAGCTGCTCAGAAAGCTCTTTTGGTGCGTGCAAAGGCAAATTCTCTGGCTCAGCTCGGAAAATACTCAGCTGAGGGTGAAAGTGAAGAAGCCAAGAAAGGAATGTTCGTTAAGGGCTATACCTATTAAGACGACTTCAAGTTTCACTTCTCACACTCTTGGTTGGCTATGCATGGCACTTTGCGAGAGGAGTACTTGTTTTTAGATAAGTTTTTACATTTTATCTCCACGCCTCCTGAAAGTAGAGGTTGAATAAATTTGCATGGGAAAGTAGAGAAACCACATGCCTTGAATCACTTCCCTTGGTAATATCTAAGGTAAGGCTTGTTTATTGGGTTTGTCAATTTTAGACTGAATTCCATTTTAAGTTTAGATTGTTTGTATCATCTTGAATTATGGTCAGGTTTAGGCTTTTGAATTTCGTTTCGTCCATGTTATCCTGAATCATTTTGTATCGAGCACATGTTAGTTTAATTTTTTTGTTTTTCATTCAGAGTGATTTGAGGTTTAATTTAATTTAAAAACTAAATATATATTATATAAATAATAGCAAGTCCCCACTATTTTTTTTAAACAAAAACACATTAAAGTTTTTGGCAAATGCTGACCGTTCTGCAGATTTAAATAAAACAAAAACCGCCGAAGCTATTCCCGGGGAAAGCTAAATTTGCCTATGGAGAACTGTGTAGTGAGTAGTGAGACCTTGAAGCTAAGGAAAAATGAAGAAGGCCACTGTTGATTCACAGAACTCGGCAGTATAATAATTAACGTTTATAATAATAGTTGAAGAATATTTAAAAAAAAAAATAAACTTTAGGGTTCGAAAGAGAATTTAAAATATTGTTATATCTAATTTAGAATAATAAATTATTAAATTCAAATTTGGTTTTGGCTGCTGTGGGTTGGTATTAGAGTCTAAACTGTGTTTCTTGTGCTATATCCCACAGCATGGGAAACCTCTATTTATGCGATATCATGGTTGTTGCTCTTTTGCCAATGGGACCCAATTCACACCTAAATATACAATTGAGCCATCCTCAGAAATCATTGACCTTTGATCGATTCACTGAAAATATATCATTACAGTTCACAGATGTGAACTATCCCTTTGTGGTTGTCCTTAGCCCAGGCTGTTGGTCTGCTTTCATACGGGGTTTTTGACGATGCCACCATTGATTCCACAACATTTACATGGTTTTGATTGATTCGAGGCCCGATAAAATAAAATGTTTGGTTTAAAGGATCAAATTGAATGTAAATTTAAAGACACGTGATTGAAACGTGTTGCGGGTAAGGTTATTCTAACTAGGGATGGTAAACGGGTACAGTTTCGTGGATTCCACACCGCATCCGCTCCAATTGGAGCGGGGATGGGTATAATTTTAGCGGGTAGTGGGCGGGTGTGGATTTATAAAATAGTACCCGTCGTGGGTGGTGGGCGGGTAATGGGTTTGAGACATTACCCTCCCCGCATCCGCCCCGCATCCACCCGCCCCGTATCCGCCCGCCCCACATCCGCCCACCCAGTTAAATATCTATTAAATTTTGGACCATTATGAATTTAGGTGTAATTTTAGAGACTAATTTATAAATTTTAATATTGCATAATATATAATATATAATTTATCCAAATATTAAGGATATTTAGTCTTTAATCTGGTCTTTAATTAGGGAAATATTCGACTCTTTGATTAAACCCATAATCCCACTAACCACGTCACTTTCCATGTTCTTTAGCCCATATTACCCATCCAAACACAAAATTAGTCGTATTATAAGCATTAACATCAAAAGCAGCAATTTCCATGTTCTTTAACCCCTCAAAACCCATATTAGGCGCACTATGAGCATTAACATTGAAAGCAACATAACAATCCAGCTCTACGACTACATGCTCCCTACAATCTGTCTCCATAACATTCGTAGAGCTACTCATCTGACAAATTGAAGCATGCGCTACTACCCCATCACGAACTGTCTTAGAACCAACTCCAACATCTTTTTAGTTTGCTGTCAGGTGGGTCTAGATAGGTATGTCGCTAGTGGGTAGTGAGTGTGTGGATGGACTTGAAAATGTACCCGCGTGGGCGGGTGTGGATTTGAAAATTTGTACCCACCATGGATGGTGGGCGGGTGGTGGATTGAAAAATATTAGGTAGGTATGGAGATGGGGGAGGGGGTATCCGCACCCGACCCACCCGTTTGCCATCCCTAATTCTAACACGATGATGTCAAAATATGTCGTGGATACTAAGAACTAGTGTTGGAGTCACTTTGAAAGATGGAATAGGTTAATGTGGTAAAGCAGTTGGTCGAAGAGCACTAGTAGATGTAGACTCGGGGCGACCACATTAAGATGAAGAGGTGGAGAGTTTGCCTTTGATGAGAAGTGGTCATCTTATAGGCTACCTTGGTTGACCATTCCCTCTTTCAAGGACCCATGTATAGTTGTTTTCACAATTTATATGAAATATACTCCGAGACGGATTATATGTTTTTTTAGGGTGGATACCAACTTTTTTAAGTTAATTATTTATTTTATTATTGATATTCATCTTAAAATTTTATTTATGTTTGTGTCATATAATTTTTTTTATTATTAATACATATATTTTTATTAACAAAATAATTATACTAATATTAGCAAAAACATCATATGAAAGATGTCTTTTAGAAGACATTGTTAATTGGATGTGCATTTGACTTTCGTGGTGAAGAGTGATACTAACCCTGAAATTAATTTAATAATTAATTTATTAAATAATGATATTTAAGTAAAGTAGGTTGATGTTAATTTCATTTTTTTCTTTTAGAAAATGACAGAGAACATAAAGAATAGTAAGAGTTTATATGAATTTTATTTTAAATATTATGATTGAGATTGTTTAAAAAATTACAAGTGGAATTAAAAAATAGTTCAAGGGTTAATCTTTTTATTGTACCTTAAGTAAATGGATAATTTTTTTAACATTGCAGTATTTGTTAATCATTGATTGGTTTGAATATTTTAAATATTTTCAAAATAAAAATAAAAATCTTAATAATTGTTTATATTTTATATTTAAATAATTTTTAAATTTTTCTAAAGATTAATTAAGTCATTAAATTTTCTAAAAGAATCAATTAGACCCTCGAACTTAGCCAAAAAAAATCAATTATGCTCATCTACCATATCATTTTCCATCAAGTATTATCACAACAATATCGTGAAATATCACATCATTATTGTAGATTATCATGTAAACTTTGTGAATTGTCATGTAAACTACTTGATAATAAATATTTGATTTCGTTAGTTAAAAGGTTATATTAATTTTTTTCTCAGTTAAGAGTCACGTTGAGTGCAAAAAAGTGCAAGGGTTATACTAGTGTTTTTTCAAAAATTTGAGAGTCTTATATACCACTAAACATTTTTTATTTTAATGACATTTTTTTTATATTTTTTAATTTAATTGACGTCCAATATGCATTAATATTATATTCTTATGATAAACTAAAATAATTTTGTGTTCTAAAATTTCTTATCAACTTTATTATTTTGTATTTGCGTAAGTCACATATTAAATTTATATAATAAAAACTTGTAATAACTATATTTTAATATAACTATTTAATAATTATTTTTTCATCCCTATTTTTAAAAAATAAATACCAAATATATTTAATTATTTTTATTTCTGAATTTAAGTTTCCATTTATATTAATCAAATATGTTTTCTAATTTTCAAACAACTGAAAATATAAAACATTTTTTAAAAATAAAAACAAAAAATATTTTCTAGAACTTAGCGGGTGTATAATTTTTTATTTCACCCTTAAATATTATAAAATTAAATTATTAAAAAGCAGTTTAAGGATCAAATTGAGTGTAAAAAAATTTAGGGATCATATTGATTTTTTTTATTTTGGAAACGTTTGAGTGTTTTAGATACCATTAAGTCAAAAACAAAATATTGTTAAAAGGATTTGAATACGTGTAAGTGAATTTGAAAATCTAGATTCAATATTTTCCTATTTTTCAAGATTTCAAAACAATTTTAATGAAAATACTTCTTTTTCATGTTTTCATAATTTCACTTATTTTTTTCATTTTACAGAAATTATTTTCTAATTTTATAACCAAACACATTTTCTTCAATATTTTCTAAAAAATAAAAAATAACTTATATTTCCTAGAACCTAACCGACCTTGAATATTTGATTTTTTTCAAATAATATATCATTGTTATTTTGTAAATAATCTAAGATCATTATAAAATTATATATGTTTAAAATAAATTTTAATTATTAATGAATACATATAAACAAAAATATTTAAAATTAAAATCTCTAAAAATAGCATTTTTTTTATCACAGAAATCAGTTCATTATATTATTGATAACTTTTGATTACTTAAAAGATTCATATAAAATTTGTCATAGAAATAAATAAATTTATCAAAAGTAAAAAAAATATAAAATTGGAAAATAATAAAAAAGTAAATGTATGATAAAAAGAATTGAGTGTAATTTATATAATAAAGAGAAAATAACCTCAGTGACCAAAAATCCTAGATAATATACGATTTTGACCAATTTTTTTTGTATTTGCGAAAATGACCAACAAAATCGCAATACGATCTCCACTATCACAAATTCGCGTTGTATTTCGCGTTACGATAGTTGAAAATCGCGTTGCGATTTTCCATTTTGCGTTGCGATAGTTGAAAATCGCGTTGCAATTTTCCACAGTTGTTGTTGCGATAGTCTACAGTTGTCGTTGCGATTTTTCAAATTCGTTGTGATAGTTAAAAAAAAGATTTTGTTTCTTAAGAATTTTCTCTGAAAAGATAGTATCCGCGCGGACGTGTAGAAGACACGTATTATCACGACCACGACCACAACCCTGAACCGAGACGAACGGCGGCGGCGGCGGCGCGCGAGAGTCCCCCTTGTTCTCTATCACTCAACAATGAAGTGGGAAAGCCAAGCCTTAAATATCATTCCCAATAGTGTTTCCAATACTATGTGGGATTGAGCATTACCAACACTTGTTTCCAATACAATGTGATTATTCAGGAAACAATTAACAATCATGCACCTTAAAACAACTGAATTAGCAACCAAATGCATTAGTATTATACGATTAAATATGTCATAATTAAAAGTCAATCTACAATCAATCGCGATTATTGCAATTTTAAGCAAAACATTCAAAAGTAATATCACTATTTAAGGCTCAATCCCACATAGTATTGGGAACAAGTGTTGGTAATGCTCAAATCCCACATAGTATTGGAAATACTATTGGGAATAGTATTTAAGGCTTGGCTTTCTCACTTCCTTGTTGAGTGATAGAGAACAAGAGAGACTCTCGCGCACCGCCGCCGCCGCCGTCTCGTCTCGTGGTCGTTGTCGTTGTCGTTGTCGTTGTCGTTGTCGTTGTCGTTG